TTGGTTCCAGGCCCTTCTGCTTCATGGCATTAAATGCATCATGCCACTCCCTTCTGGCCTGTAAGGTTTCTGCTGAGAAGTCTGTTGTTAGTCTGATGGGCTTTCCTTTGTGATCCTATTTCTGCCTCTGGCTGCTTTTAACAGTCTGTCCTTACCCTTGATCTTTCCCATTTTAATTACTATGTGTCTTGGTGTTGTCTTCTTGGGTCCCTTGTGTAGGGGTTCTGTGGATCTCCATGGCCTGAGAGACTATCTCCTTCCCCAGATTGGGGATGTTTTCAGCAACTACCTCCTCAAAGACACTTTCTATCCCTTTTTCTCTCTCCTCTTCTTCTGGTATCCCTATAATGCAAATATTGTTCCACTTGGATTAGTCACACAGATCTCTCAATATTCTTTCATTTTTAGAGATCCTTTTTTCTCTCTGTGCCTCAGCTTCTTTGTATTCCTCTTCTCCAGTTTCTATTTCATTTATTGTCTCCTCCACCATATCCAACCTGCTTTTAATACCTTCCATCGTTTTCTTTAACAATTGGATCTCTGACCTGAATTCATTCCTGAGTTCTTGGATGTCTTTCCGTACCTCCATTAGGATGTTGATTATTTTTATTTTGAACTCCCTTTCAGGAAGAGTCACAAGGTCCATATCATTTATATCTTTCTTGGGAGTTGTATTAACAATTTTACTCTGGACAAGGTTCCTTTGGCGTATCATGTTTGTATATGGCACCCTCTAGTATCCAGAAGCTCTATTCTGGTGCTGCTGAGCCCTTGAAGCAATGTCAGGGGTCACAGGGGAGCAGTACGGGGGGTAGGAAAGAGCTGTTCCCCGCCTCCTGGCTCCTGTGCCTGTCTCCACTGCCTGAGCCAGTGGGGTGGTCACACAGGTATAAGTTTTTGTCCCAGAGCAGCCAGATACGGATCCCTGCTTTCCACAAGCAGCCAGAATCCCAGTCTCCCCAGGAACTCGGCCTGTATTAACTTTCCAACCCAGTAGTCATCCTAGTCTCATGAAAGCACCATGAAATGTAGGTTTATGCTCCCAGCGCAGATCTCTGGAGCTAGGTATTCAGCAGTCCCAAGCCTTCCACTCCCTCCCTGCTCCATTTCTCTTCCTCCCGCTGTTGAGCTGGGGTGGGGGAGGGCCTCGGGTCCCATGGAGCCACAGCTCTGCTACATTACCCCGTTTGGAGAGGTCTCTTTTCTCCCGGTGTGTGCAGTCTGACCCAGTCCTCTTTCCTGTTGCTCTCTCAGGATTAGTTGCACCAATTAAATTTTTCTAATTGTATCCAGCTTTAGGAGGAAGCCTCTGTCTCTCCTCTCACGCCGCCATCTTTAATCTTGAATTCACTGCTGAATTTTATCAAACATTTAGTGAAGACCTAATATCCATCCTCCTTAAAGTTTTCAAAAAAGTGGAAGAGCAGGAAGTACTCCCAGACTCATTCTATGAGGCCAACATCAGTCTAATACCAAAACCAGGCAAAGACACCACCAGAAAAGAAAATTACAGACCAATATATGGAAGAACATAGATGCAAATATACTCAACAAAATATTAGGAAATCGAATTAAAAAATACTTCAAAAAGATCATCCATCATGATCAAGTGGGATTCATCCCAGGGATTCAAGGATGGTACGACATTTGAAAATCCATCAACATTACCACATCAAAAAAGAGACAAAAACCACATGATGATCTCCAGATGCTGAAAAACCATTCAACAAAATTCAACATTCATTAATGATAAAAACTCTCAGTAAAATGGGTATAGAGGGCAAGTACCTCAACATAATAAAGGCCATATATGACAAACCCAAAGCCAACATTATACTTAAAGCGAGAAGCTGAAAGCTTTTCCTTTAAGATCAGGAAGAAGACAAGGATGCCCATTCTCCCTGCTTTTATTCAACGTAGTTCTGGAGGTCCTAGCCATGGCAGTCAGACAACACGAAATAAAAGGCACCCAGATTGGCATGGAAGACATCAAACTGTCCCTGTATGCAGATGGCATGGTATTGTACATAAAAAACTCTAAAATCCACTCCAAAACTACTAGATCTAATATCTGAATTCAGCAAAGTTGTGGGATACTAAATTAACACACAGAAATCTGTTGCATTCCTATACCCTAATGATGAACCAGCAGAAAGAGAAATCAGGAAAACAATTCCATTCACAATTGCATCCAAAAGAGTAAAATACCTAGGAATAAACCTAACCAAGGAAGTGAAAGATCTATACCCTGAAAACTACAGGATATTCTTAAGAGAAATTAAAGAGGACACTAATAAATGGAAATTCATCCCATACTCTTGGCTAGGAAGAATTAATATTGTCAAAATGGCCATCCTGCCTAAAGCGATCTACAGATTCATTGCAATCCCTATCAAAATATGTATAGCATTCTTCAATGAACTAGAGTAAATAGTTCTAAAATTCATATGGAACCACAAAAGATGCCAAATAGCCAAAGCAGTTCTGAGAATGAAGAATAAAGCAGGGGGAATTACACTCCCTGACTTCAAGCTCTACTACAAAGCCACAATAATCAAGACAATTTGGTACTGGCCAGGAACAAACCCGTATACCAGTGGAACAGACTAGAGAGTCCAGATGTAAACCAAAGCATATACATCTATTAATATATGATAAAGGAGCCATGGATGTACAGTGGGGAAAGGACAGCCTCTTCAACAGCTGGTGTTGGCAAAACTGGACAGCTACATGTAAGAGAATGAAACTGGATTATTTGTCTAACCCCATACCCAAAAGTAAACTCAAAATGAATCAAAGACCTGAATGTAAGTCATGAAACTGTTAAACCCTTGGGAAAAAATATATGCAAAAATCTCTTGGACATAAACATGAGCAACTTCTTCATGAACATATGTCCCTGGGCAAGAGAAACAAAAGCAAAAATGAGCAAGTGGTACTATATCAAACTAAAAAGCTTCTGTACAGCAAAGAATACCATCAGTAGAACAAAAAGATATCCTAAAGTATGGGAGAACATATTCATAAATGATAGATCCGATAAAGTGTTGACACCCAAAATATATAAAGAGCTCACGCACCTCAACAAACAAAAAGCAAATAATCCAATTAAAAAATGGGCAGAAGAGCTGAATAGACAGTTCTCTAAAGAGGAAATTCAGATGACCAACAGGCACATGAAAAGATGCTCCACATCTCTAATCATCAGAGAAATGCAAATTAAAACCAGAATGAGACATCACCTCTTCCAAGTTAGGATGGCCAGCATCCAAAAGGCAAACAACAACAAATGTTGAAGAGGATGTGGAGAAAGGGGAATCCTCCTACACTGCTGCTGGGAATGTAAATTATTTCAACCATTGTGGAAAGCAGTGTGGAGGTTCCTCAAAAAACTAAAAGTAGAAATACCATTTGATCCAGGAATTCCACTCCTAGGAATTTACCCTAAGAATACAGGATCCCAGTTTGAAACAGACATATGCACCCCTATGTTTATCACATCACTATTTACAATAGCGAAGAAATGGAAGCAACCTAAATGTCCATCAGTAGATGAATGGATAAAGAAGATTTGGTACATATACACAGTGGAATATTATTCAGCCATAAGAAGAAAACAAATCACACCATTTGCAACAACATCAGTGGAGCTAGAGGGTATTATGCTCAGTGAAATAAGCCAGTTGGAGAAAGACAAGTATCAGATGATTTCACTCATCTGTGGAGTATAACAACAAAGCAAAAACTGAAGGAACAAAACAGCAGCAGACTCACAGAACCCAAGAATGGACTAACAGTTACCAAAGGGAAAGGGACTGGGGAGCATGGGTGGGAAGGGAGGTATAAGGGGGGAAATGGGGCATTACGATTAGCACATATAATGTAGGGGGTTGGGAACACGGGGAAGACAGTAGTGATTCTATAGCATCTTACTACACTGATGTACAGTGACTGTAATGGGGTATGTGGGGGGGGGACTTGATAACAGGGGGAGTGTAGTAACCATAATGTTCAAGTAATTGTACATTAACGATGTCAAAATAAAAAAACAATTACTGCAGAAGTTTTTGCCCATTTGCTATGGCATTTTATGTATTACCTTAATCAAAATCCCCACAAATTGCAATTTTAATTTCATTAAGCTTTTCTACAGTGTAAATTCCCTTTTAGCTGCTAAGTAAATTGAGAAAGGAGTTTGTTAAAATTGTGTTTTTTCCAATTTTAAAGGGAGTCTTTAATCTGTATGTATTTAGTTCATGTTAATTGTAAATGATGTTTATTCCCCATCTGTGTCTTGATACCACAGTCCCATGTTTTTAATTTCTGTAACAGCATTAAACAATTAAAAATAAATATATGTACCAAATTAAAATTTAAAAGCTACATGAAAAGAGTAAAATGAAACAGATGCAATTACTAATTTATTTAACCTATTATATCTTAATTGTATTTCAGCATAGAATTAGTATAAAAATTTACTGGGATTTCTTTTTTTGCCGAAAGATGTTAAAATCTGTGTTTTTTAATTTGGACATCAATATTTCAAGTGCTCATTAGCCTTGAAACATTTGTCTAGCGGCTACTGTATTGGAAAGCATGTCATTATTATATAGTGATATAGAATATAGTGTATAGAATACAGTGTATAAAAATGCTCATATTAAACATAGAATGAACTTATTTGCATATTGGTAAGTTTCCTGTGTCCCCGTGTACTCTCTCTCTCTTATTTACTGAGTGACTGCATTTTTATAACATCCCTTAATCTCAATCTCTTTATCTACCTAAGCTAGGAATTTAATAGTACCCATGGTAGGACATTTTTAGGGCTTATTGAAGTATTAAATGTAAATTTACTTTGTGTAGTGATTATAGTATTATGAGTGATTTATCAGTATTTTTAAAATTTAAAGTAAACATGAATAGTACTTTACTAGCTTTTTTCTTTTCTTTTTTGTATTTTGCAATTACAAAGTAATCCTGTCATTGTTTATAAACAGCAATTTACATCCAGTACTGTTACCTTCAGATGTATTTGACCAACCACAACCTGTAGGTAATAAAAAAATTGAATTCCATATAACTACTGACATGACAACTGAATTTAAGAAAGAGATAGAAAAGGAACAAAATTGTGGTAAGCATATTTTTTGTGTTTAAATGTGCTATGCAAAAATTCTTTTTAATTTGCTTTTTGTGTTAGATTTAAAGTATATATTTCTGTATTTCAGTATTCATGAAGTATAAAGTACGCAATTCGATCTTCCTCAGTATCATGGAGTACTATCCATTTTGAACTTTTTTATATAATTAAAATTGGTGCTTAATGATATTTTCATTGTTGCCTTTTGCAAGTAATGAACTCTAGAGTGAAATTTAGTCTATTTACTGATGTTTACACTAAAGTAGGTTTCTTGTATTGACTTAATTTATTCCTTGTTAAATGAAATGTTTGTGGTTTTGTTGGTATAACTGTGTTATTGGTTAGGAAACAAGCAGCATCACTGTCTTGTGAGTTGTTGATTTCATATGAATTTTTTTTTAATCCAAAGAACATGGAAGATTGTTTACCAAGATACTGTTCTTAAGTTTAAAGATAATTTATGGAGTATAGATACTTTTTCTTTCTACTTTAGGCGTTGTTTTGATAATGCACTGGCATTCCTTTTTTCTTTCAATTTTATAATTTTGAAAGTAATACAAGCTTATAGAAAATGTAATCAAACAGGAACACATAAAGTAACATTTAGAAAAATTAACACTTAAAACCTCACTGACCCCTGTCTCACTACTTAGCGATAACCACTGTTAATAATTTGGTATAAAGATATCCTTCCAGACATTATCCTGTGCATGTGTTTATTTTCTCTAATTTTTTGGGGTGGTAATGTTTTATATAGTGTTTGTCTTAACTCAGTAACAAGTTATTGAAAACATAAATGTGTCCCCCAGAGGACAACTTAGACATGTTATCTGATGTTTTGAAGTTTAAAATCTAGTGTGAGTAGTTTACTATGTCAGAATACAAAAATATAGCTTACTTTTTTATATGGCTGTATAATATTCCTTCGTATAGTTACAGCAATCATTATTTCATCATGCTCTGTTGATAGAAGTGAAGTTTCCATATTTTTACTATTACAGAAAATACTCAACAGAAAGTTTTTTTGTATTTTTTTCTTATATTTTGTAATCAATTTTTGACACAGATTTTTATTTTTTAAAGCTGTTTACTTAAGGGCTTAGACCTATATGAGAGGGGGACCATCATCTTATTCTGTATTAGTGTCAAGTAATAATATTGAAGTAATGTAGAGGCAGTTTTAAGTTTCTTGTGATGCTTACTACAGGAAGTCTTTTTGTACAACACTTTTTCCACATTATGGATGGAGAAGCCTCCATAATCCTAAATGTAACGTGTTCTTTGCATCATTTTCACAGCTTTTTATAGTGTTTTTGTTTTTTAGGTAGTATGACTATAATTTTTTCTAACAGACGTTTAACCCTATACTTTCCTACATTCTTCTCCAAGCAAGTTTAATTTTGGCTGAAACTAAAATTCATGCTTTCTGAATTAAATCCAGTATATTCTTATCTAAATTTAAAATTTTCAATATGTTTGAATTTTCCTAATTGAAGGAGCTATTCATTACCTGTGCAAATACTTGTTTTCTTGTTAAAGGAGCAAGATTAGTATTGGCTTGTTTTTTTCTTTTTTTTTGGTGAGAGGAGGTTTAATGGATTTTTTTATAGTATCAAATGGAAATGTCTTATGATTTTTTTAACATAGTATGCTGATTCTGATCTTTCAGTTATTGTTGAGAATGTCACAAAAGTTTCATAATATTGTGATACAGTACTGTGGAGTCTTCATATGCATTGTATAAATGCTCTTAATTGACCATCCCAATAGCAGATGCAGTTTGATAATTATGTAATTTAGTTAATTAATTAGAAGTTTCTTTTCATGCAATTATTGGTAGTTCAGAGTGAGTAGGTCTAACAAAATACTGATCATTGCCCCCCAAAGCACACAGTCTACCTATCTACCCACTAAACCTTTCCATGAGATGTCCCCTGGCACCTCAAACTAAATGTGTTGAAAATGGGTTCTTTTGCTTTCCACTTTGCAGGCCCTTTAAATGACATTTGGCTGTTTATTGTCTGTGGTGGTTTTCATGTTACAGTGGCAGACTTGAAATAGTCATGTGAGAAACCATATGACCTGCAAAGCCTAAAATATATACTATTTGAACCTTTTCAGGAAAAGTTTGCCTACTTCCATTCTAAAGCATTGAGAAACACCAAAGAGTTAGTGCCAAAATATATCTTAAAAATGGAAAACAAAAACTGTTTCGTAGGGAAGGATTTTTAATGACTCATGTTAACTCTTAGATTTGCCTGCTTCTGAAGCTGATGAATCCAACATAGGATTTGGAAAAATCTTCCCCAAACCTAATTTGAACATCACAGAAGAGACTAAAGAAGACTCTGATGAAATGCCATCAGAATGTATTTCTAGAAGGGAGTTGGAAAAGGGCAGAATTTCTAGAGAAGGTAATTTCATGAAATAAAGCATTAACTCCATTTTTCACTTATTTGATGCTTCAGAAACAAAACAACAAATATTCATGGTATTTACCTTAATTAAGGCATATACTTTTAAAACATCTTTCCAATTCATGTTTTTAATCACCACTTTTGGTTTTTCATACCTGTACTTCATAGGGAGGAAAGTGTCTTTCAATACAGTGTTTCCAGTCTCTTTGGGAAAATGCTTTGTTTTCATTCCTAAAGCTTTTGTATGACATCATAAATCAATGTGGTCCATAGTCTTGAATTCTATTTTCCAAATACAGTTGATATACCATCATAATACTGGATCTGAGATGCATGCAAAGCAGTTGTTAGTTTAAAAGAAAATGGTTTTAATTATGTGATGATTAGAAGTCTGTGTTTAAGGATTTTATATCTTAACATGATAGATTTTTACTTCTAAAGGATTTTTCCTGTTACAGGACATTTTAGGAAAATAGGGGTTATAGGTTGATATTTAATACATAAAATTTTTCCTAAAATTATGGGAAATAAATGTCCAACTACCATTTTTCATAGAACATACAGTTGTCAGGAAGAGATTTTTGACACTAAATAGTAACTATATAGGGATTCAAAAGCCACAGTTTGTCTGAAATACTTGATTATTATGTTTGAGTACTTTATTTTAGATTTGAATATGTTAGTGTCTGGTAGTTTAGGAAATTGACTTCAAGCAATTACAGATGATTTATAACATTTGCTTCAGTCTTTTTAATAAAGTAACTCATCTTAAAGAGCTTTAATAGTAGATATTTTATTGGATAAGTTTTAGTCTGAAATTGTAACTTTATTTTCATATTACTCAGATTTTTAATGGATATTTTTATCCCATTATTAACATTGCCATTAATTTAGACGGTTTTAACATTTTCATCATGCTATTTAACAGTTATATTTGAATGTTGTTACTGTTTAAAAAACTGTTGAATGTCATTTTCCTTTGAAAAATTGATGAAAATATCTTAATTTTATGTCCTTGGTCTGTTTTGTTTTTAAATAAGAAATGGAAACACTTTCAGTTTTCAGAAGTTATGAACCTGGTGAACCAAACTGTAGAATTTATGTAAAGAATTTAGCTAAACATGTTCAAGAGAAGGTAAGTTCAAATTTATAAATTGATTTTATTATTTTCCTTTTTTTTCTGAACTTTCTCATTTGTCTTTTTCTTGTTGAAATTCTAGGACCTTAAATTTATTTTTGGAAGATATGTTGACTTTTCATCAGAAACACAGCGGATAATGTAAGTGTCAGTCATATTCTTAACTTATGTTTTGTTCTTATCTATTACAAATAAATGCTTTTTTATCCCAACATTTTTGCTTTAGAAGTAAAAATTATATGAAGAAATTGCTCTTACCTGTTTCATAATCTTTTAGATATCTTGAGTAGGTGTCAGCAAATGTTCTTTGTTAAAGGGCAAATAGTAAAAATTTATTATTTTTCATTTTATTGCAGGCCATACAGTGCCTATTACAACTACTCAATTCCTCCTTTGTAACCTGAAAGCATCCATAAATAATACATACATTTATATTCATGGCTGAATTCCAGTAAAACTTTATAGAAACAGACCTACCTCATCATTTATTTCAGCTTCAATCCCTGGCTCTAAAGAAGTGTTTCTCAACCTTAATCTGCCTAAGAATCATGTGGAGACCTTGGTTAAAATAAAGTTTCTGGGGTACAGCCCTGAGTCTGGTTTTCTAGGCTGAAGTAGGGCCCATGAGTTTGTATTTCTGTAAAGTTCATGGATGATGCCAAAGCTGATGGTCTAAGACTACAGTTTGAGAACTACTATTTTAATTACTCATCCAGGAATATATAACACTCAGGCAATTTTTTTTAGATTCTTACCCTGATAGTAACCTCTCATTTTTTAATTGGTCTGCATTAAGCAAGACTGCCAATTTTGTGAAAGCAAAAGAGAGGGATATGATTTGTAAATGATACAAAAGCTAATGTTTGAATTAGAATTTCATTCTTTATAATTCTGTAACTGGTAAACTTCAAAGTGTATAAGATCCTTGGCCATGTACATTAGAAGTTGAGAACGTAAGGAAAGAGACTTTTCAGAAGACGTAAAATAGAGGAGTGTCTCTAACTAGTTAATTTTGTTTTAATCTTATGAAACCAGTACTTTTAAAGTCATCTGGCCCATGTGTCTTTTTAGGTAGGTATGCACAGGTAGCACCATGGCGTTAAATTCTCCATTTACACACATTAGTGGCAGACATAAAAATACTAGTCTTTTTTCTTGTTGACTTTGAATCATGATGACAAGAAAAAGAAAAATATATATATATAAAAAAATGTAGTGTACATAAAAACATATCTCTATGTGTATATGTCCTTTTCCTCTATTTCTAGTATTGCCTGCAGAATTTGAGAGAAAAAAAATTCTATATTGTAAAAGCTGTATATATCAAAATGATAAATTAGTAATTGTTTCCCATGGGACTAGGTATGTGAATTAAGAAAAATAAATTCCACTGCATTGTTAAATGCTTTATATGCTTTTGCTGATTTTATAGAGTATTTAAATGACAGATAATACTTTAGTTGTAGATTATAGTCTGATTTTTCTAGAGTTTTAAATAAAGTTTTTTTCAAATGTTAAAAAATGAGTATGCAATGGAATAAAAAAAATGGCTTGTTTCTGTTTTAACTTTAGCTATCTGTATAGACTTGAAAAAGTCATTCAGTCTCTAGGTATTACCTGTAAAATGATGGTTTTGACTAGATCAATGAGGTCTCTTTTATTCTGGAATTCTGTTACTGTTCTGTGGTTCCTACCAGCCATTCTACTAATGGTCATGTAGTGATTTTTCTTGTTTGAGTAGATAGCATTGAGTTGGCTGACAGAATTGTTTAAAAAAAGAGATAAGAAATAAAAACTGAAGTTTCTTTTACACTTGCTCATAATATAATTCTTTTAAATTTTTAATTTTGAGGTACATACAATAAAATGCACATATCTTAGTGTTCAGCTTGATGAATTTTAACATTTGTTAAGCACTCATCACCCAGATCACAATACCAGACATTCTCACTAAATTTTTTTCTCGCTTAACATACTTCACCCATCCTGCCAGTCCTCTCCCCTATGACAACAACCAATCTGTCTCTGTTTATGAGTCTATTTCAGTTTAGGTATTTTTATTTATTTTTTTAGAATCCACATATAAGTGTAGTATGATATTTATCTTTATCTTATTTCACTTAGCATATACCATCTTGGTCCATCCGTGTTGTTGCAAATGGCAAGTTTTCATTTTTTATGGCTGAGTAATATTACATTATATATGTGTATCACATATTACATTGTATATGTGTATCACATATATTTTATCCATTCATCTATCAATGGACATTTAGGTTGTTTCCATATCTTGGCTATTGTAAAGCTGCAGTAAACATAGGAGTGCATATATCTTCTTTGGATTAGTGATTTTGGTTTCTTTTTGGGTAAATTCCCAGAGGTGGAATTGCTTGGTCACGTGGCATTTCTATTTTTTTAGAAAATTCCATACTGCTTTCCATAGTGGCTTTGCCAATTTGCAATCCCATAAGCAGTGTACAGGGTTTCCTTTCCTCCACCTTCCACTAACACTTAACATTTGTTGTCTTGTTGATGTTAACCATTCTGATAGGTGTGAAGTGACATCTCATTGAGGTTTTGATTGGCATTTCCCTGATTAATAATGTGTAGCATCTTTTCATGTGCCTGTTGCCATCTGTATGTCTTTGGAAAAATGTCTATTCAGGTCCTCTCCTTTTTTTAATTGGATTGTTTTTTTGGTGGTTTTATATGTTCTTTATATATTTTGGATATTATCCCCTTATTGCATATATGATTTACAAATATATTGTTCCACACATAGGTTGCCTTTCATTTTGTTTATGATTTCCTTTGCTGCTCAGAAGCTTTTTAGTTTGCTGTAGTTCCAATTGTTTATTTTTGCTTTTGTTTCCCTTGCCTAAGGAGACATGTCCAGAAAACAATGTTCAAGTGTTTACTGCCTATGTTTTCTTCTGGTTGTTGTATGGTTTCATGTCTTATATTTAGGTATTAGGTTTGAGTTTATTTTTGTGTATGTTATAAGACAGTGATCCAGTTTCAGTCGTTTGCATGTAGCTGTCCAGTTTACCCATGACCATTTATTGGAGTGACTGTCTTTTCCCAGTGGGAAATTCCAATTGGGAGTTCTTGCCTCCTTTGTCACTTATCAATTGACCACATAGGTGTGGATTTATTTCTAGTTTGGTTATTTTGCTCCATTGGTCTATGTCTCTGTTCTTCGGTCAGCACCATGTACTATTTTAATTACTGTAGCTTTGTAGTATAGTTCAAAATCAGGAAACATGATAACCCCAACTTTGTTCTTCTTTTTCAAGATTGCATGGGCTATTCAAAGTTGTTTGCGGTTCCATATGAATTTTGGGATTATTTGCTCTAGTTGAGTAAATAATTCCATTGGTATTTTGATAGGAATTGCATTGAATCTGTAGATTGCTTTGGGTAGTATAACCATCTTAACAATATTCTTCCTATCCGTGATCATATAGAATAGCTTTCCATTTATTTGTGTCTTTTTCAATTTCTTTTATCAGTGTCTTACAGTTTTCACAGAACAGGATGATAATTTTTAAATCATATAAGTACATTGAAAATGGCTTAAAAAATAAAAATATAAGCACATCATCAAATTTATATTGCCTACTCAGCAATATAATTTTATATACTCAGCAATATAATTTTAGAATCAATTTTAGAACACAAAAAAGAATTTTAAAAAGCCTCAAGTAATTAATGCGCTAATCAGATAATACAGTAATTTTTACTCTGAAATACCATTTAAAAGTGTTCAACACATTTCTGTTCACTTCCTCAAAAATTGTTTTAACATTCTTTGAATCAAAACCATTCTTTCTTCTTTGACTTCTAGGTTTGATATACGCTTGATGAAAGAAGGTCGCATGAAAGGGCAAGCTTTTATTGGACTTCCAAATGAAAAAGCAGCTGCAAAAGCTTTAAAGGAAGCTAATGGATATGTTCTTTCTGGAAAGCCTATGGTGGTTGTATCCTTTAAATCAATTTGTTCCAAAGACTGTAGTTTTTAGAAGAGTAATTGAAACCAACTTCTCTATTATCCTTCAGAAATCGTAAGATACTCAGTTACAAACTACTTAGCTGAGTCACATAAATGTATTTAGATTTTTACTGGAAAATAAGGAACATCAGCAGCATGAGGTTGTTAAAATTCAGCCTACATGTTTCACTTACACAGCTCAAAAGTACATTGTCATGCTAAGCCTAAAAGACTACAGTATCTTCAAATGTTTCAAGTCATTAAAGAAAGAATTCATTGTAGTTTTGTTATTTTTATTTATTTATTTATTTACTTGCTATCATTAATGTATAATTACATGAATAACATTATGCTTAATAGACTCCCCTTATTATCAAGTCCCCACCACATACCCCATTACACTCACTGTCCATCAGCATAGTAAGATGCTGTAGAATCACTACTTGTCTTCTCTGTGCTATACTTCCTTCCCCATGGCCCCCCCGCCCCCGCATAATAGTGCTAATCATAATGCCCCCTTTTCTCCCTTATCCCTCCCTTCCCACCCATCCTCCCCAATCCCTTTCCCTTTGGTAACTGTTAGTCCATTCTTGGGTTCTGTGAGTCTGCTGCTGTTTTTTTTTCTTCTTATGGCTGAATAATATTCCACTGTGTATATGTACCACATCTTCTTTATCCATTCATCTACTGATGACACTTAGGTTGCTTCCATTTCTTGGCTATTGTAAATGGTGCTGTGATAAACATAGGGGTGCATATGTCTTTTTCAAACTGGGATCCTGCATTCTTAGGGTAAATTCCTAGGAGTGGAATTCCTGGATCAAATGGTATTTCTATTTTTAGTTTTTTGATGAACCTCCACACTGCTTTCCACAATGGTTGAACTAATTTACATTCCCAGCAGCAGTGTAGAAGGATTCCCCTTTCTCCACATCCTCACCAACATTTGTTGTTGTTTGCCTTTTGGATGGTGGCATCCTAACTTGGGAAAGGTGATGTCTCATTCTGGTTTTAATTTGCATTTCTTTGATGATTAGAGATGTGGAGCATCTTTTCATGTGCCTGTTGGTCATCTGAATTTCCTCTTTAGAGAACTGTCTATTCAGCTCTTCTGCCCATCTTTTAATTGGCTTATTTGCTTATGGTTTGCTGAGGTACATGAGCTCTTCATATAATTTTCAGGTCAACCCCTTATCTGATATGTCATTTATGAATATATTCTCCCATACTATAGGCTACCTTTTTGTTCTGCTGATAGTGTCCTTTGCTGTACAGAAGCTTTTTAGTTTGACATAGTCCCACTTCTTCAGTTTTGCTTTTGTTTGCCCTGCCAGGGGAGATATGTTCATGAAGAAGTTGCTCATGTTTATGTCCAAGAGATTTTTGCCCATGACTTTTTCTAAGAGTTTTATAGTTTCATGACTTACATTCAGGTCTTGGTCTATTTGAGTTTACTTTTGTGTATGGGATTAAACGATAATCCAATTTCATTCTCTTACGTGTAGCTGTCCAGTTTTGCCAACATCAGCTGTTGAAGAGGATGTCATTTCCACATTGTATGCCTATGGCTCCTTTATCATATACTAATTGACCATATATGTTTGGGTTTATATCAGGGCTCTCTAGTCTGTTCCATTGGTCTATGGTTCTATTCTTGTGCCAGTTCCAAATTGTCTTGATTACTGTGGCTTTATAGTAGAGCTTGAAGTCAGGGAGCATAATTCCCCCCACTTTATTCTTCCTTCTCGGGATTGCTTTGGCTATTTGGAGTATTTTGTTGTTCAATATGAATTTTAGAATGGTTTGCTCTAGTTCATTGAAGAATGCTGTTGGTATTTTGTTAGGAATTGCATTGAGTCTGTAGATTGCTGTAGGCAGGATGGCCATTTTGACAATATTAATTCTTCCTATCCATGAGCACGGGATGTGTTTCCATTTATTGGTATCTTCTTCAGTTTTTCTCATGAGTGTCTTGTAGTTTTCAGAGTATAGGTCTTTCACTTCCTTGGTTCATTTTATTACTAGGTATTTTATTCTTTTAGATGCAATTGTGATTGGAATTGTTTTCCTGATTTCTCTTTCCACTAGTTCATCATTAGTGTATAGGAATGCAACAGATTTCTGTGATTAATTTTGTATCCTGCAACTTTGCTGAATTAGATGTTAGATCCAGTAGTTTTGTTTGGAGTGGATTCTTTAGGGTTTTTTATATACAATATCATGTCATCTGCAAACAGGTACAGTTTGACTTTTTCCTTACCAATCTGGATGCCTTTTATTTCTTTGTGTTGTCTGATTGTCATGACTAGGACCTCCATAACTATATTGAATAAAAGTGGGGAGAGTGAGCATCGTTGTCTTTTTCCCGATCTTAAGGGAAAGCTTTCAGCTTCTCGCTGTTAAGCTTAATGTTGGCTGTGGGTTTTTCATATATGGCCTTTATTATGTTGAGGTATTTGCCCTCTATACCCAGTATGTTGAGCGTTTTTATCATGAATGAATGTTGAATTTTCTAAAATGTTTTTTCAGCATCTGAAAATGATCATGTGGTTTTTGTCCTTTTTTCTGATGTGGTGGATGAAGATGATGGATTTTCGAATGTTGTACCATCCTTGCATCCCTGGGATGACTCCCTCTTGATCATTATGGATGATCTTTTTGATGTATTTTTTAATTTAGTTTGGTAATATTTTGTTGAGTATTTTTGCATTTATGTTCATCAGGGATATTGGTCTGTAATTTTCTTTTATGCAGTGTCTTTTCCTGGTTTTGGTATTACAGTGTAGTTGGCCTCATAGAATAAGTTTGGGAGTATTCCCTCCTCTTCTACTTTTTGGGGTAATTTAAGGAGGATGGGTGTTTATGTCTTCACTAAATGTTTGATGAAATTCAGTGGTGAAACCGTCTGGACCACAGGTTTCATTCTTAGGTAATTTTTTGATTACCAGTTCCATTTCCTTGCTGGTAATTGGTCTATTCAGATTTTCAGTTTCTTCCTGGGTCAGCCTTGGAAGGCTATATTTTTCTAGAAAGTTGTCTATTTCTTCTAGGTTATCCAATTCGTTGGCATATAATTTTTCATAGTATTCTCTCATAATTCTTTGTATTTCTGTTGTGTCCATAGTGATTTTTTTCTTTCTCATTTCTGATTCTGTTTATGTGTGTAGACTTTGTTTCTTGATAAGTCTGTCTAGGAGTTCATCTATTTTGTTTATTTTCTCAAAGAAACAGCTCTTGCTTTCATTGATGCTCTCCATTGTTTTATTCATCTCGATATTATTTATTTCTGCTCTGATCTTTATTGTGTCCCTATTTCTACTGACTTTGGGCCTCATTTGTTCTTCCTTTTCTAGTTTCATTAATTGTGAATTTAGACTGTTCATTTGGGATTGTTCTTTCCTGAGGTAGGCCTGTATTGCAATATACTTCCCTCTTAGCATTGCCTTCACTGCATAGCACCAGAATTTGCGATGTTGAATTATTGTTTTCATTTGTCTCTATGTATTCCTTGGTACCTGTTTTTATTTGGTCATGGATCCATTCTTATTTAGGAGCATGTTATTAAGCCTCTGTGTGTTTGTGGGCTTTTTCATTTTCTTTGTGTAATTTATTTCTAGTCTCACACCTTTGTGGTCTGAGAAACTGGTTGGTACAATTTCAATCTTTTTCCATTTACTGAGGCTCTTTTGGTGGCCTACTATGTGGTCCATTCTTGAAAATGTTCTATGTGCACTTGAGAACAATGTGTATTGTGTTGCTTTTGGATGAAGTGTTCTGTAGATGTCTGTTAGGTCCATCTGTTCTGCTACGTTGTTCAGTGCCTCTGTCTCTTTACTTTGTTTTGTCTGGTTGATCTGACCTTTGGAGTGAATGGTGTGTTGAAGTCTCCTAAAGTGAATGCATTGCATTCTATTTCCCCCTTTAATTCTGTTAGTATTTGTTTCACATATGTAAGTGATCCTGTGTTGAGTATATAGATATTTATAATAGTTATATCCTCTTGTTGGACTGACCCCTTATCATTATGTAATAAATATCCTTCTTTATCTCTTGTTACTTTCTTTGTTTTGAAGTCTAATTTGTCTGATAAAGTTCTGCAACCTCTGCTTTTTTCTCCCTGTTGGTTGCATGAAATCTTTTTCGATCCCTTTACTTTCATTCTGTGTATGTCTGTGGGTTTGAAGTGAGTCTCTTGTAGGCAACATACAGATGGGTCTTGTTATTTTATCCATTTAGTGATTCTATATCTTTTGATTGGTGCATTCAGACTGTTTACACTTAGGGTGATTATTGATTAGTATTTACTTATTGCCATTGGAGGCTTTAGAGTCATGGTTACTAAAGGTTTAGGGGTAATTCCCTTAGTATCTAACAGCCTAATTTAACACACTTCATATGCTATTACAAACACAACCTAAAGGTTCTTTTTTTCCCCCTCCTTTGTCTTCCTCCTTCATTCTTTATATGTTAGGTATCATATTCTGTACTCTTTGTCTATCCCTTGATTGACTTCGGAGGTAGTTGATTTGATTTTGCATCTGCTGAATAATTGTTTTACTTTACAATTGTGGTTTTATTTCCCCTGTTGACCGCTATTTAGTCTTAGAAATACTTCAATCTATAGCAGTTCCTCCAAAATGCACATATCAGTGGGTTGTGGGAGATAAATTCTCTGAGATTTTGCTTATCTAAAATTTTTTAATCCTTCCTTCAAATTTAAATGATAACCTTGCCAGGTTGAGTATCTTTGGTTCGAGGCCCTTCTGCTTCATTGCATTCAATATATCATGCCACTCCCTTCTGGCCTGTAAGGTTTCTGTTGAGAAATCTGATGATAGCCTGATGGGTTTTCCTTTGTATGTGATCTTTTTTCTCTCTAGCTGCTTTTAAAAGTCTGTCTTTATCCTTGATCTTTGCCATTTTAATTATTATATGTCTTGATGTCTTCCTCTGGTCCCTTGTGTTGGGAGAATTCTGTTCCTCCATGGCTTGAGAGACTATCTCCTTCCCCAGATTGGGGAAGTTTTCAGCAATTACCTCCTCAAAGACACTTTTTATTCCTTTTTGTCTCTTCTTCTTCTGGTACCTGTATAATACGGAATATTGTTCCGTTTGGATTCTTCACACAGTTCTCTCAATATTCTTTCAGTCTTTGAGATCCTTTTTTCTCCATGTCCCTCAGTTTCTTTGTATTCCTCTTCTCTAATTTCCATTCCATTTACTGTCTCTTCTACTACATCTAATCTGCTTTTAAATTCCTCCATTGTATGATTCTTTTCAGATATGGAATTTCTTAATGATTGACTCTCCATCTTAAATTCATCCCTAAGTTCTTGATAATTTTTCTGTAGTTGCATGAACATGTTTATGATTTTTATTTTAAAGTCTTTTTCAGGAAGGTGGGTGATTCAGTGTCATTAGGCCCTTTTTCTGGGGTTTATGAGATTTTGGTCTCATCCAGGTTCCTTTGACGTAGCATAATTGTATGTGGTGCCCTCTAGTGCCCTGAAACTCGAGTCTCTGGAGCTGCTCAACCTATAGAGTGAGGTTGGGGGTTATAGGGGAGTGGCGCTGGTTCCTCAGGGGAGGAAAGAGCTGTTTCCAGATTCCCGGCTGCAGTGCCTGTCTCCAGTATCAGAGCCATGGGCGGAGCACACAGGTGAAGCTCTGCTTGGCGTCTCTAGCTGTTGTAGGCGGGGCCTCCCTCCAGCTGTGCTGACACCAGTGCAGTGACTGCTGGTTTGCGAGCAGGTGCCGGAAGGCCAGGAGGAAGGCGCAGCAGGCTGCATATCACAGTGGGGGTCCTCGGAAGTATATAGGCAGCCAGGGGGATGGAGTGTCTGAATCTCCTCAAAGTTTCCAATGTGCTGGGCAGAGCATGCTCAGAAAACCTTGTCCATTTATCCCTTCTCCCGTGTAGGGAGCTCCATGCAAACTCCGCCCCTTCAGCATCCCTCTCCCCACTAGGAAGCCTCTCAGACCGTCTGCCTTTCCTTTGTTCTAGAGTGGCCAGCTGTGGATTCCCGTCCTCCACAAACGGCCGAAATCTCAGTCTCTCAAGCACTCCACCAGTCACAGCTCCCTAACCCCAGCAACCTCCAGAGCACCACACAGTGTAGGTCTGTGGTCCAAAGCAGACCTCCAGGGCTGGTGTTCAGCAGTTCTAAGCTTCTTCCCCCTCCCCAGTCTGTTTCTCTTCCTTCTGCCAGTGAGCTGGGGTGAGGGAAGGACTTTTGTTCCACTGGATCAAGGCTTTCTATGTTACCCTTTTTGATGAGGTCTGCCCTGTTTGTGAGGTCTGTATGCAGTCTGGTGCAGCATTCTTTCCTCTTACTGTTTTAGGGTTAGTTATATTAACTATATTTTCACATTATATGTGATTTTGGGAGGAATTCTCTGTCTCACCTCTCATACCGCCATCTTGAATCCTATAGTTTTATTATTTTATGTTTTATTATAGTTAATATTTCTATTTGAGAATGTTAATAACCAAAACATATCCTTGATTAACTACCCTGATTTTAGTTGCTAATTTAGTTTGCCGACTAGAAATCACTGGGATAGATGAAGTAGTGAAAGTCCAGGTGTAAAAAATTATGAGTATAAACAAAAGATATTTTTTTAACTTCATCCCCAAATCATGGACAGCAAGAAAGAGGCACTTGAAAAATATTTGGCAAATGGCTGGGAGGAGGCAGACAAATATAAAAGTTAAAATATCGTACTCCTACCCTACATTAGGAAGTTCTTGACAATTATTTAGAAAGATGACTTTCATGTTTATGAAGAAAACCCTTAATTTTTAAATATTAGCAATTTGCTCGATCTGCTAGACCAAAGCAAGATTCCAAAGAAGGAAAAAGAAGTGTTAAAAATTATTAAAGGTAAGTGTGGATATAACATAATAGAAGGACAAGACTTTCTTGAGATAAAATTAAGGATAAAAGCCTGATAGAATAGTAATTAAGGTATCATAAGGTTTTTAAAGAATCCATCTTTCCATCCATTTATCTATTTATCTCTGTCTCTAACTAGGTAATTAATTCCCATTAAACTTCAAAATTATAACTGGAGTAGAGCCCATTTGTTTTTTTATTTATTTTTATTTTATTTTTTATTGTTATTGATATACACTGTGATGAAGGTTTCACGTGAAAAAACTATGTGGTTACTACATTTACCCATATTATCAAGTCCCCACCCATACCCCAGTGAAGTCACTGTCCATCAATGTAATAAGATGCCACAGATTCACTGTTTGCCTGCTCTGTGCTACAGTTTTCCACATGACCCCTCACACCATGTGTACTAAATATATACCCCTCAGTCCCCATCTCCCTCCCTCCTGACCCACCCTCCCACAGCCCTCCCCTTTGGTAACCACTATTCCCTTCTTGGAGTCTGTGACTCTGCTGAGTAGAGCCCATTTATATATAAAAATTAAGTTTGGAGGAAAAACTTTGAAAGTGGAGTATGTCTTTATTAGGCTGTGTTTAGTTTCTCTGCCTAGAGTAAAGCAGGTGTTCTTTATCTTTAACATGCATTATAGTCCCCTGGAGGGCTTGCTAAAAGTTTGCTAGGCTTCCTCCTACCTAGAGTTTCTGATTCAGTAGGTCTGGAGTGGAAGCCTTGGGTAACCAACCATCCCAGTTTTTGTGACTGGGGGATTTTCTGGGATACCAGATTCCTAGTGCTAAAAGTAGAAAAGTTTCTGCTATACCAGGACAAATTGGTCACCCTTGGTGGGGCCTGAGAATTTGCATTGACAATTACTAATTGCACACCTTACAGACATATAAACATTTTTTTGTGGGATGGAATCTTTTGTCTTTCAAATAAGTAATTTTAATGCATACTTAACTAATATAATGATTAAAATGGTAGGTAAGTATTTGAAACTACAAAGTTTGTTATATATTGTTTTGATTAAGAAAGATGAGTAGATATATATATTTGTTTTTATTTCCTTACGTCCTCTAAACTGGAAGAACATGTAAATCAGAATTAATTGGTATTAAACTGGAAAAAGTTATATGACTAAGAGAAAATTTGGCTTATTGTTTGCTCCTTTTGTCAGATGCCTTGAATATTTTATTTTCTTGTAAAGTATCTGTACTGGTGTAGTCAGAAGTTTTACAGATATCTTAGTGGAACAGTGAAAAATAATTTTCCGTTTGTGTTTTGAAAAAATCACTTATTTGTAAATGTAATGTGAAAACAAAGAAAGCAAACTGCGTTCTGCTGTTCTTCTTTAGAAGCATTCCTGCATATTACTGTCATACAAAGTGTATCCTTTTGTGTATCCTTTTGGGAGCAGTGTTTTTTGTTTCTCCTAGAAATGTTTTGTCCTTCCCTGACTCACTGATCCAGATTAAGCAGTGGTTTTTTACCATTTATTCAAACGAAATATTTCTGAAATTATCAGTATTAATTGAATAAATCTTCAGTGTGTTATTTAGATTTGTTGCTGAATTTCTGTGCTGGCCTCTAGATTACATAATTTTTCCAGAGAAAGTTAGTGAATCAGGTCAATTTATTTATCTGGAGAATGTATGCATTAGCTTTAACACAGAATTTAATCTTGTTTCTTCTCTTTGTTTCCCAAACCTAATTCAGTAACATATACTTTGTTTTATGATATATCTGGTTAGACGTTCTATGTAGTGCTGTGTTGTAAAATTTTATTGGGAAGAGGATTTTCTTTCTTTTAAAAGAACATATATTGAAAATTTAAATAACTGGATTTCTATGTACATTCTAAATAAAAGTAGCGGACTGCACATCTGAGGTCTTATTATTGATAGCCCTTTTAAGAAAGATAGCAAGTAGAATATCTTTTTTCCTCTTTCTTTTTCTAAACAAAGCCAAACAAAGGAATAAGAAAAGAGTAACCAAGGCAAGAAGACATGTTGACTCAGGGTAGCACATAAAGTAAAACAAAAACAAAAACAAAAAACAGTCCTGGCAGGTATATGTAAGAACAATTTCTATATTCCAGACTTGTTGATAACTGGAATCACCCAGAACAATGGTTCTCAGTCTTGCCTACCTATTGGAATGGCCTGAGAAATTTTTCAAAAATTCTGATTTAAAATAATATACATACACATATATATTTATATCTATTTACACACACACATAAATATATACATATGTACATATACAATATCTATACATAGATTACTCCCATGAGTTTTTATTTAATTGGTCTGGTGTCCAATATTGGGATTTTCCAAACCTCCCAAAGTTTTTATTCTTATGTGCAACAAACATGGAGAATCACTAGGGAAGTATTTTTACAAATAAAGACTCCTGAACTCTGTCCTAGAACTACTAGATCAGAACCTCTGTCAATGAGACCAAGAATCTAATTTGAAAAGTTTCCCTTAGTGGTTCTAAGAACTGACCAATTTGGGTACTAGTATGTTACACTAAAATTGTTAGGTGCTTAATACCAACTTAGCCACCCAACCCTTTTATACATAGAAAAATAAAGTGTTGGAATCTCTATATTTCTTTCTTGCAAATTCTATTAATACTATGAAAACATTCAAAATGCTGTTAATAATTGTTATCATCCTAAGAGTAAAAAGAGATACTGAAATTGCTTTTTTTCCTATAGACAGTTTGTGTTTTATTAATTTGTAAATTATAATTTCTGTAAAAAGCTATTTAGACAGCAGTTAAAATTTTGTAGTACTGACATGATTCACTAATTTTCTAAATGTAAATGTTTTAGCTTTTAGTTATTTTAAAACTAATGAACTGTTTTATAATTATTATTTTTAATGAACTTTTATGATGTTTTAGGTTCCTTTTGAAATCCATATCTTTCAAGTGCTTTGCAACTTTGTGGAGAAGAAATTGATCACATGGACTATGGAACTGTGTGTAACAGCTTTTAAAGTATACTTAAAATTTAAATCTATATGCATTTAAATCATATATATAATTTATTTGTTTCCAATAAAACTCAATTTTTGTGTTATTTTGTATCTAGGAAAGTATGACTTGATAATTACATATTTTTATTTACATAATTTTACAGCACTAAATAGACATTTTCTTACATGATTAAAAACATTGCTCCTTTTTTTCATTCTTACCTGGATACCAATGTACTTCCTTACTCCCTTTTTTTAATTCATAATTTTTTCGGTTCATTTTGTTATCATTAATCTACAATTACATGAAGAACATTATGTTTACTAGACTACCCCCTTCACCAAGTCCTCCCCACAAACCCCATTACAGTCACTGTCCATCAGCATAATAAGATGCTATAGAATCACTACTCATCTTCTCTGCCTTACACCCCCTTTTTAATAGTTATTATACTTATTTCTCATGATAATTTTAGGAGTGGTTTGTTTGTCTGGCAATGAGTTATGTTGAGTTTTTTCTTGTTTATTCTGTTCTGTTTTCTTTCAGTAGTGGGGAATTTTTCCGAGTTTAGGGAATTTATTGCCTTGCCCTAATTTAGTATTCAATTTTTGTTCCCCCAAATATCAGAAAGTCACTCAAAGGAGTATATTTCCCATATAAAATTACTCTGTTCCCTTCGTGAATTAGTATCATCTGCATGTAGGTAGGAAGACTTTTAATTTAATTTGTTTTTATTGGTACTTTTTTAGTGGGTATGTAATAAAACATCACCTTAGAGTCATTGCCCAAAGACTCATGTCTCTGTTGGAATGTTGTGAATCAGTTTCTTGTCTTTTGATGACAGCATTGTGAAATAAAGAAAAAGAATTTTAAAGATGGGAATTAGAAGTGTAGAGAAGTGAACCCTGGAACATGATGGGGTTTAGGTATTAAGTAGGTAAGGAACCATTAAGAAGACTGAGGTGAAATAGGAAGAAGCCAAATAAAGTATCTCATACACGAAGGGGTGATCTAATATGTCATCTCCATTATCAAGAAAGGTAAATTCTGAGGATTGGATTGAGTTTAGCAACATTTGTGATCTTGACAAACTAATTGGATGGGTGGAAGAAGTGAGGGAATATTCAAGAGAATGAATGGTAGAGAGTAACTTAATATAGCAAGAATTGAATACAACTCAGTTAAGGAGTCTTGCTCTGAAAAGGAGTAAAAGAAATGGGCTGTTAATATAGTATCAAAGTTTTAGTTTGTATTTTGATTTATAAAGATTGAGAATATAGCAGTTCTCAGGAGGCACTCAAGATGGTGGCATGAGTAGGGTGGCAGAAAACTCCAAAAACCATGTATATTTTTGAAAATACAACAAATACAACTATTCCTACAAGAGACACCAGAAGATACAGTACAACAGCCAGGCTACATCTACATCTGTGAGAACTCAGCATCTCACAAAAAGGGTAAGATACAAAGCCATGATCTGGTAGGACTTGAGCACTCCCACCACCCCAGCTCAGTGGTGGGAGGAAAAGAATCAGAGTAGGGAGGGACTGGAAGCACAGGACGGCTAAATAACCAGCCCTAGTAATCAGCACTAGGAGCACAGACGCACATTGCATGGTGTACTGAATATTAGAGAAATGGAAAAGTAAAATCTGAGATGGAGATGGCAAGCAGGTCCTCACAGCTGGCTCCCCTTGGACAAAAGAAAAGCGGGTGCTTTAAAAGTCTTAAAGGAACAAGGGTTCAACAGATGGACAAAATTGTACTGGCACACTCAGCCAAGCAGGCTGGGAATCTTAAGGAACTTCAGATACCCTAACCCCCTGGGTGGCAATGCAGCTCTGACACCCCTCAGGCAATAAGCAGCCTGCCGTTCATTCCCCCCCACCAGCACTGCAAGCCAACCGGCTGACTGGCAACTGCTGCAGACCAGCCGGGGAGCAGCCCCCGCCCACAGCAACCACAGTTCTCCCAGCATGCAGCTAACTGGGCCAGACCCAGAGGCTGCCACCAGCACTCAGCTACCTGGCACAGACAGAAGAAGCCGGCCCAAAGTCCGGAAGGCAGGAAAGGGTCCTCTTCTCACAGGAGAACACACCTGGCATGCCTGCGACACCTGGCAGTGCCTTAGACCATCCCGAGGACCACCCTGCCCACAGCAGGTCATGGAATTAACCCAGAGACTGCTTGCTGTGTGTGGGTCAGCTCAGGCAGCGTAGAAGGGCAAGGCAACCAGCAAGCAAGGAGGGACTTTGTTCTCCCAGCTGACACACACACCACCTGCCAGCAATCACTTCTATAGCCATGAAAAGGCAGTAGAACCTGGTCCAGTCCAAAATCACTCAAACAATGCCAGAGAGAGGGCCTGGCGAGATAGATATAACCAATCTTCCTGAAAAATAATTCAAGATAAAAGTCATAACCGTGCTGATGGAGCTGCAGAGAAATATGCAAGAGCTAAGGGATGAAGTCCGGAGGGAGATTACAGAAATGAAACCGTCAATAGAAGGACTAAAGAGCAGACTGGATGAGGTCCAAGAGACTGTTAATGGAATAGAAATCAGAACAGGAATACAGAGAAGCTGAGGCAGAGAGAGACAAAAGGATCTCTTGGACTAAAAGACTATTAAGAGAAATGTGCGACCAATCCAAACAGAACAATATTCGCATAATAGGGGTACCAGAAGAAGAAGAAGAGGGAAAAGGGATAGAAAGTGTCTTTGAAGAAATAATTGCTGAAAACTTTGCTGAGCTTGGGTAGGAAGTAGTCTCTCAGACCATGGAAGCCCACAGATCTCCCAATACAAGGGACCCAAGGAGGACAACAGACATACAATTAAAATGGCAAAGATGAAAGACAGGGAATTAAAGGCAGCCAGAGAGAGAAAAAGATTCACCTACAAAGGAAAACCCATCAGGGTACCATCAGACTTCTCAACAGAAACCTTACAGGCCAGAAGAGAATGGCATGATATATTTAATGCAGTGAAACAGAAGGGCCTTGAACAAAGAATACTGTATCCAGCAAGATGATCATTTACATTTGAAGGAGGGATTAAACAATTTTCAGATAAGAGTTGAGGAAATTTGCCACCCATGAACCACCTGCACAGGGTATTTTAGAGGGACTGCTCTAGATGGAAGTATTCCTAAGGCTAAATAGATGTCACCAGGGAAAATCACAGAAAAGAAAGCAGACCAACCAAATACTAACTAAAGGCAAAAAATAAAATCAGCTATCCACAAAAGAAGGCAAGGGAAACACAAGAGTACAGAATAAAACACCTAACATGAAGAATGGAGGAGGAAGAAAAAGAAGGGAGAGAAATAATCATCAGACTTTGTTTATAATAGTGCAATAAGTGAGTTAAAGTTAGATGATTAGATAGTAAAGAAGCTACCCTTGAACCTTTGGTAACCATGAATCCAAAGCCTTCAATGGAATACACATCTATCTATAACCACCCTGAATGTAAATGGACTGAATGCACCAGTCAAAAGACAGAGTAATAGAATGGATAAAAAAGCAAGACCCATCTACATGCTGCTTACAAGAAACCTCAAACCCAAAGACATGCACAGACTAAAAGTGAAGGGATGGCAAAAGACATTTCATGCAAACAATAGGGAGAAAACAGGTGTTGCAGTACTTGTATCAGACAAAATAGATTTCAAAACGAAGAAAGTAACGAGATAAAGAAGGACATTACATAATGATAAAGGGGTCAGTCCAGCAAGAGGATATAACCATTGTAAATATCTCTGCACCCAACACAGGAGCACCAACATATGTGAAACAAATACTAACAGAATTAAAGGAAGAAATAGAATGCAATGCATTTATTCTAGGAGACATCAACACAGTGCTCACTCCAAAGGACAGATCAACCAGACAGAAAATTAGTAAGGACACAGAGGCACTGAACAACACACTAGAAGAGATGGACCTAACAGACATCTATGGAACTCCACACCCAAAAGCAGCAGGATACACATTCTTCTCAAGTGCACATGGAATGTTGTCCAGAATAGACCACATACTACGCCACAAAAAGAACCTCAGTAAATTTAAAATGATTGAAATTTTACCAACCAGCTTCTCAGATTATAAAGGTATAAAACTAGAAATAAATTTTACAAAGAAAACAAAAAGGCCCACCAACATATGGAGGCTTAACAACGTGCTCCTAAATAATCAATGGGTCAATGACCAAATTCAATCAGAGATCAAGCAATATATGGAGACAAATGACAATAGCACAATGCCCCAACCTGTGTGGGACACAGTGAAGGCAGTTCTAAGAGGAAAGTATATAGAAATCCAGGCCTATTTAAAGAAAGAAGAATAATTCCAAATGAATAAAGTCACAATTATTGAAACTGGAAATAGAAGAACAAATGAGGCCCAAAGTCAGCAGAAGGAGGGACATAATAAAGATCAGAGAAGACATAAAAAAATTGAGAAGAATAAATAGAAAGAGTCAATGGAACCAAGAGCTTGTTCTTTGAGAAAATAAACAAAATAGATAAAGAGCAGACTGGATGAGGTCCAAGAGACTGTTAATGGAATAGAAATCAGAACAGGAATACAGGGAAGCTGAGGCAGAGAGACAAAAGGATTTCTTGGAATGAAAGACTATTAAGAGAAATGTGCGACCAATCCAAATGGAACAATATTTGCATAATAGGGCTACCCCTCAGTAAGGGGTAGGCCCAGACTTACTGAGAGAAAAAGAGTCTACACGCATAAACAGAATTGGAAACTAGAAAGGAAAAACCACTACAGACACCACAGAAATATAAAGAATTATTTGAGAATACTATGGAAATCTATTTACTAACAAGTGGGATAACCTAGAAGAAATGGACAACTTTCTACAAAAATACAACCTTCCAAG